CAAGGCTAGAAAAGCAACGTTCCTGTTAAGGACAACCGTGTAGAAAGAGTTATTGGAGTATGTTTGGGAAACTACTACTCCAAAAGCGATTTGGGATATATTTGTGGCGGTATTTTCCAAGACGAATGATGCACGACTCTAGTATCTAGAGAACGAGCGTGCAACAGTTATATGAGGGTCGATGACTAGTAGTCAATATTTTCTTAAGGTAAAGACTCTTTGCAATGAAATTTCACAATTGGATCATGAGTAGAAAATTAACGAATCTAGAATGAGGCGCATTATTACTTGACGTTTAAGACCTGAGTATAGTGGGCTTATGGCTACCATTAGAGGATGGTCCATTCAACCATCACTGGTCGAGTTGGAAAGTCTATTGGCGAATCAAGAAACTCTAGCTAAGCAAATGGCCGGATTCACACTAAAGAAAGAAAGTGGAGAGGAAGCATTATTCAGTAGCAAGAGAAGAGAAGGACCAAAGTGGCAAAAATATGAAAGAACAAAGAAAGAAGAAGATGAAAAATAGCAGTATGATAGAAGCTATCAAAGAGGGGGAGTTTGGTCCGATAACAATGAAGATGATCGAAGACCTACGGAATTTTGACGACGCAACATAGAGTGCTTGAATTGTGGCAAGATTAGCCACTGCGCAAAAGATTGTTGGCTAAGAAGAAGACCAACTGAAGGTAACATGGTAACATTCAACGATTGCCAAGATAAGAGCAAAGAATAATGGAATTTCCAACAGAGATTATCTACCTGTTAAAAGACTTTGTTCACTGGAAATAATTTTTTTTAGCTTGTGTTTGGAATATAGATTTGAATAAGAAATTGGAAAGGAAAAAGAAAATGTGAGGAAAATGTGAATGAAATATAAACTATTTTTTTCTCCATTTCTCTCACATTTTCCTTTCCGTTTTCAAATTCATACCCAAATATATGAAGTAAACACAACTTTAAAGTATCTAATGCAAACTAGAAAGTACAAAAGAGAATATTAACAAGTTCAATTCACCCTGAAAGAGAGTGTTGGTTGGAGTAGACTAGCAGCTTGTACTGAAATTCCTAGAATTGGCAAACTTGATTGCTCAATGAGTTTGCGCTGCAGGTCATCAAAAGTCACTCAAGATCTTCATTTTGATGCTTGACACAATAATTATAAAAAAAATGAGCGTTACGTAACGGAAAATCGAGCCTCTGTTTTGAATACTCACTAGAATAGCAGTATGGGAAAGAAAGTGCTGAAAAACCTGTAAAACGATTTTAAAATGAGTTATGCTAGAGACCCCAAATGAATTACCAATTTTTTTACCAAATCTCTCACATGGGTGTGGGACCCACACACATGTGATTTGTGTAGGTCCCACACCCATGTGAGAGGTTTGGTAAAAATTTGGTAATTCATTTGGGGTCCATAGCATTTTCCTTTTAAAATTTCACGTCCGCAACAATCGATTCCCACGATACGTACCTGCCGATACTACTGATACCGGTACTCCGTGATTGATACTGTTACGTTACCCGATACCTCAATTTAGAACCATGCTTGACACTATAGTTGACAAGCTTTAACTCAAATTAATTTTTTTTTTTTTTCTACAAGCTTTGATCTAACCATTATTGATTTGAGTTGCTTTCCTGCTTCAGGGTATGTTTTGCCTTCGCATTGAATAGAGTTTCAATTTATACAAGGGCTTTCCTATCTAGCCTTTGTTTCAGTTCTAGTTATAAAAGGTGGGGATTGCATGTGTAAGAAAGTGAAAGTGCAGCTGAGGGAAGTTAGTTGCTTGACATGCCAACTCAATGAACACTGCTGCTATTGTGCATTTTCCATGAAATAACTGCATCATTTGGGGTTCATTATGATAAAGTGAAAGAGTTGACATCTAAACAAATAAAAATAAAAAGTGCTATCTGGAAAAAATAAAATAAAAATGAAAAATGCATAACACAAGCAGATTTTAGTATGATTCAAGCTGGTCAATGGTAATTGGCTTTGGTTCAAGCAATACCACGATGGAAGTTCCCAGCAATCTGTAAGTGCTAATACAATCCTGCAAGTCGCCATCGCAAGCTATTAAAATCATGTGATCTTCCTCATCTTTATACTTGACATAATAACTTCCAGCTTCTACGTTTAGCCTCTTGGCTATTTGTTGTTGTAACTCAACCAGTCCTGATGACAAAGACAACTGAAACTTATTGTAATATCATTAATATATTTTGCCCTCATGGTCACAATATTTGCATCTTCGATTGCTGTATTTTTTGGGTTTGCGTGATCAACAGTAGCTGAGGCTTGATTGAAAGGCAAATCACAACTTAATTGTGATATTTGTTGATGATCAACTCAATAAAAGGAGTACGTTTTTGGGGTATTTTACAAGGCATTTTGTATAACAATCTTGGAGTTGCTCTTAAGAGTTGAAATGCATAATATATGTTATTTAAAATGCATAGTATAATTTATTTGTTTAAACTCCAATACACTAGGTCAATAATTAGGCGTTTTACCTCAACTCACATTCATTAGCTAAATGAAACTAACCTTCAAAGGCTAAGCAAAATATTTTTGACCCTTGTGATTTTTTTCTCCCTCTATCTTTGTTGCTGATGTGGCATTTCTTAAAGTGAGTAATATTTGGATGAAATAATTAAAATAAAAAGCACGGTTACAGTGCAAACATAAAAAAGGTAGATAGGTAAAATTAAGTATATACATTATAATAACTTTTAGATAGATAAAATACCTAATATTATTGAAGATAATCTAACATTGTGACATTTCACATTTAAACCAAATTTAGGGTTTTGCCATTTGCTTTATGGTTCATTTTATGATTCTCATCTATTGAGAAAAAAATAAGTACAATGACAACGATAATAATACTTCCAACGACATCCACAGGGCCATGTTTGCACAATGAAGATCATTCAGCATATAGGGAAATTGCAACCATATGAACCCTATTAAAAATTTGCATAATATTATCACAAAAATTCGTAATATCAATTATAAAGTATCTCTCGTCGTAAATTAACGTAAAAAAATGTTCAAAATTTAGTGATTCATGAGACAAAAGTTTGTGATTTGGTTACAATATTTTTTGTTATGTCAATTTGTGACGAAATTACACATTTTGTAGTTGATGTTAAGAAATTTTGTGATAAAATTATGCTAATTTGTGATAGGGTGCATTTGTGATAAAATTATGGTACACAACCTTGGAGGGGTGTGTATCATAAAATTTCCCACATATATATATATATATATATTGCAATACAAGATCCTATAATTAATATACAACAATACTATAAACTCATAAAAAAATTACCTAAAAAACTGAATCAATAGATTACATTTATTGTGAGTGTGATCTATTTTCCATTAATTTTAAATTTACACCGTACACTCGGTGACTTTTCAAAATAAAATTTAGATTATATTTTCATAATGCATAACATATTTTTTTTTGTTAACAGTGGTATTCTATTCAAGTTCTGAACATTTATTTTTGAGTAACAGATGTTGGATTTTTTTATTAATAGTTTGTAATATTAAATGTTATTTTTAATTTGAATTATGTTTTTTTTTTTAATTGAAAAGATGTTTTTACAAGCTCTAACTCTAATTTAATTTTTGGATAGAGGTTTTTAAAAATAATTACACTGACCTCCTTTTTAGTAAAATTAAAGAGACCAAAATTAATGCAGATGGTATAAAGACAAAAAAATATACAAGGTGAAATATATATTTTAATGTAAGAGAGATGAAAACAATATTTTTCATTTATATGACTAGTGAATTGGTTATGAAAAAAGAGGTAAGAGTGATATGAATTAAAACCATAAAGGAGTCCAGTATAATTGTACCAAACTTGTAGGACTTACTATATTTTCTCCAAAACTTAGGAGAGGTTAGTGTAATTTGTTAGGATTTAAACTGTGTGTTCAATTCCTAAACGCTATGAATCTTAGAAACTATGAATCACAAAAAAAATAAATAGATAGAACATACAGATATACGAAATTCGGCAACATGTCTATGTTTTTAGGAGCCACACGAAATCACTATATTGTCCGTTTGGGAAGAACTAAAGTGGGCTTTTTTGGCTATTTTAGCCACAAAAGATAAAATAAGCTATTTTAGTCACAAAAAACAAAACATCACATCTAACCCATAATCATTACACTCTTCTCTCACAAAAAAAAGTTAAAAAAGTCAAAAAGCCAAAAAACCCTTCTCAAACCAAGCTTTTTAGCCCAGGCTAAAATAGTCAAAAAAGTCAAAAAGCCAACCCACTTCCCAAACGGAGGCTGAGTATAGAATTACAAACATTCTTCTTCTCCCTCACACTAAAAAACGGCAACAATATCTCTTTTCTTTCTAACCACAAAATGTATAAACACTGTTACATTATATAGGGTAAAAGTCTATGGGCCGAAAATAGCCAAACAAGCTTGGAAAAATTCTGTTGCAGGGGCCCCACCCCCAAACTTGGGCTTTCTATTGAAGCTTGTCTGCAAACCCAACATAATTTACCCTCAATTTTTTTACAAGCTTTGGTCTCAACCATAATTGATTTAAATTGTTTTTGTGCTTCACGGTATGTTTTGCCTCTGCATTTAATTGAGTTTGAATTTTTATGGGGCTTTTGTATCCTGCCTTTCACTTCTGTCCTAGCTATAACAGGTGAAAATGTGTAAGAAAGTGAAAGTGCAGCTGAGGGAAGTTAGTTGCTTGACATGCCAACTCAATGAACACTTCTGCTATTGTGTATTTTCCATATAAACAGGAAATAACTGCATCATTTCAGGTTCATTCTGATGAAGTGAAGGATTTTTTTTTTTTTTATCAACAAAGAAAGTAACATTTTATTAATGCTAATACAACATTACAAAATGGGAGAATGAAACAGTTGGCCAGAATCCAACTGCCAAGAGGAAATCAAAAAAACCCAAAACACTCCCAACCTTCCTGAAACAGAGGAAACAAGGCATGATAGCAACAACCATCTCTAGAATCATAAGATAGAACAAAAGAAAATATAGCAACAACAAAAAAAACTGAAATGATTCAAGTTGGTCACTAATAATTGACTACTTTGGAACAATGAATACCATGATGGTAGTGCTGCCCAGCGATTTAGAACTGCTTATATAATCTTGCAAGTCCTGATCACAAACTATTGCAATTAAGTCGTCATCCTCATCTTTATACTTGACATAATAAGTTCCATCCTCTAAGTGCAGTCTATTGGCGATTTGTTGCTGCAACTCAACTAGTCCCGATGACAAAGACAACGAAAACTTCATTATAATATCATTGATATATTTTACCTTCACGGTCACAATATTTGCATCTTGGATCACTGTATTACGTGGGTTTGCATGAACAACAGCAGCTGAGGCTTGACTAAAAGGCTGATCAGAACTTAATTGTGGTATTTGTTGATGATCAACACCCGGGGAAGATTCACTAGGTTGACAGCAACCACCCATATTCTTCTTGCGTGGTGGCCACCTCGGTATATCATAATCTCTACAAACACGCTTCAGTGTAGATATGCCAACTGCAAAAAGAAGAATCTAGCTAAGAGACACGACTTTATGTTTGCAGTGCAAAATGTCAAATATTTCTTTACGAGAAGAATGTCGAGTTGAAAATAATAAGTAAAATCACAAGCAATATTCTATTTTAATTTGCTAAGAGTACAGATACCTTGGAGGTTATCTGCAGCATCCATGAGGCTCATTTTTGAATATTGTAGGATATCATCTAAAGGAATTTCAATTTTAACTCCAGTTTTATTGTGCCCTCTTTTTGGCCTCTTTGTTTTGCCTTTTTCCTGTGAACAAGTAACATCAATGTTGCCTCGTTCCGCACTTACAACATTGCTTTCATTGTTTAATGCATCCATTGATTGTTGATTCGATAAATCCAGTTGTGTCATCTCTCCTCCACTTTGTAAGGGCTCCAGCCTAGGCAAAGATTTAGTAGTTTGGGACATTTGAATAGAATCAAGTTTCTCACCATTCTGAAAAGGAATTTCTTCAATATATAAATGTCCCCCAAGTTCTTCTCCAGAAGCAAGCTTAAAAGTATGAAAAATTTTCTTCATCGTTTCCAATATTTTCCTCAATGCAGTCTGTTGATTACCATAATAGTCTTTGTTGCTTGGCGGCATAAAGCACTCTAACACGTAAATGTCATTTCCGGTGCAACTACTTTGCAAGCCTATTGCGAAACAACAACCTAATTTTTGAAGTCGTGCACAGTGTGCCAATGGGTAGTCAATCATGCTAAGTTGGGTTACATCCTTGCAAAATAATACATTAGGGGACGAGAATGCTCTCCCAACAACTCCTTGCCACTTTCTTAAGTGAGATACACCGTTGACCCGGCTGAACTCGAAGTACCCAGATTTCTCGAAACTCTGAATCACATGGAAAATGTCACCCTTAACCAGAGCCCATGCTTGAGCCAAAGGTAAATCATGATCTTCACACACAACTTCCAACACCTTGCGGATTTCATTAAAGGCATGGCTTTTTTGTATCACTTTCTGAACCTGGTTGAAAACTATTGTCACGTCCAAATATTGCCAGAAGATATTCCTCATCATATTATTTAAAAAAATAAAATAAAATACCAAATTTGACCTTACATTATTACAGTGTACCACTTACTAAATCCGTGTCATCCGTGTCATGGTCTGCATGTGAAATTGAATATTCCAGACCTACCTCCTGCAGGGGAATGGAAAGATGCGACTAAGGAATCTTGTACACTTTGAAATGTAGAATATTTGTTTGCCAAGAAAAGGAAGCATATAAGAGACTCTATAATGGAAAAACAATTCAGTCACAGCTAAATGAGCACGGAATGCAATAAAAAAATACAACTTAACGCTTTGCTTTGCTTTGCTTTGCTTTCTTTCTTTCTACCATAGAAGCTCATGCTGAGAAGACAAACAACACACTATCTTATCCTCAATTCAATAGTTTATTCATTGTATCTTTTTGGATCTTATAATTTTAATCATAACAATTTACCATTTAATCTCACATTTTGTGTCACATTGATATTGATAACTGTGAGGAAATACCGCAATTACATACTCCTTTTCTCATTTTTTCTACTAAAAGACAAAAGTTTTGCAAAATCAAAAAAAACAAATCCAAACAAAATATCACATCCAACCCCATAATCATTTCACTTTTTCTCTCACAAACATCACATCCAACCACAAAAAAACCCAACTATCTTCCCAAACACTAAAAAATTTTTATCCAATAATATCCTGCAACTAAAAAAACTTACATAAAAACCAACTTCCCAAAAAACTATGAATTTTATGCAGAATAGACACATGAGAAGCACGTAGCCATGTTGCATTATAATAGGATCAAATATGCACAAGCTAAAAAATTAAAGGAAAAAATTGTTGGTCTAATGGATTAGCCGGTCCAATGGGCCAGATACCACACAACGGTTGATGATTTACTAATAAAAAGAGTCATTTGTTATACAATTAAAAACTTGAAGAGACGTGATGTACATTCCAGAATCGCAGGGGACAATATGTGTTTTAAACAAATTATATTTTTGTAATTTACCCTATTAAAAACACACTTCTCATCTATTTTTTTTTATTTTTTTGATAATTTTTTTTCTTTTAAATTTAAATTATCGAAGGAGCACAATTCTGCATACATGTAAGAAAGGAGAGAGGGGAGTTAATCAATCAAGATTAGAAAGACATAAAAAAGTGCCAATTTGTGAGTTGGGGGACTAACCTCCAAATAATCATGCAAAACCAGGAAATCAATGCCGCGGCGCGCTGTTGAAACTATCTCAAGTACACCAACGCATAAGAGGGTAGAAGGATCAAACAGTGGGATAGCCCAAGATTGTTCAACTTGGCAACGTAAAGCATGGTGGCGCAATGGATACTCTTTGATAGAGTAATATTCTACATTGGGAGAGAATTCGGGAGATCCGTGGTTGAACACACGGCCAGGAACCCCAAGTTGTTCATCAGAACTCTCTCTATCCATGTAAAATTTATAGTCCTTAGAGATCATCCTATACCCACAAAGTCCTTTAACATCATCAATTTCTTCCTCAGATGTAGAAAGAGCGAAAGGTTGGTTTTGAGTTGTAAGATAAGACCGGCCATCCATGGTCATTTTGGGTGCCCAAAATTGAATTAGTGCTGGAGATTCTAACCAACAGTCTAAACCTTTTCGAAGCAGATCTTTGATCTTCTTTTTTAAATCCAAAATATCTGATAAATAATTTTTTTTTAAAAAAAAACAACAAACAAACAAAATTGGAGGAGAGAAGTGAGATTTGAAAAGCGGGTAGTAGGTAACTATGTTGATTTAAAATTGAGTTATAAATAAAACTCCATTATTACAAATTAAATAAATAAAACCCATATTCAAAGGAGGAGGAAGAAGTAGAGAAAAAGAGAAGAGACATAATAAAAGTCCCACTCACTCGGAGGATGTTCGGATTGGTCGTCTTCTCGGCTCCAGAAAACCCATCCACAGAAGACATCTTCACCATCAAAATGATCCACCGCTGGGCAGTGGCTGAGTTGAGTGTCCAGATATTGCTTGAAATCGTCAGGGAAATATGCTGCTATTCCTTCTTTGTCTGGTTCGGCCATTTTCTAAGAATTACTTATCAGGGAAGTTCCCCAACCCAACCAACCCCTCTCTAACCAGGGTCATTAGCTTTATTTATAGATAACCAAGAGAGGGGACCACCCTAAGGGTCGGTTTGGAACTTAGTTAATTTTTTAATTAGTTTGTGAGATGAAAAAAATTTATATTTAGAATGTTTTGTAAATTGTTTTTATAATTGAATAGATAATTGTGATAGAAAAAATAATTAATTGATATGTATAATGTGACATTTTATTTTATTAATTATTTAAAAAAAAATATTAATTGTTTTAATCAAAAAATATAATCCTCAAACATTGCCTATATACAAATTTTTTTTTTTTTTTTGAGAAATAACTGTCCAATGAAATAGCAAAAAAAAAAAAATTACAAATCAGTGAAAAATTTTATACATTATAATAATTAAATTTTATTTATTTATTTTTTTTGCTGTTCACTGCACAGGTTATTTCCCCATATTTTCCTTCCGGAGCCACTAATATATTATGGGGTTCAAGGTAAGTTCAAAGGGTTATCACCATGCCATCCCTCCTCTCAGTTTTCCATATGGGGTTGGAAGTGTTCTAATAAGGTTCAAATGGTTATTTCACATGTCCTTTTCAAGCAAAGTCATCAATCTCTCCCTACAAACCGCGTTGTCGAAATGTACGACTTCAAGGGGCTGTTTGGCTCAGCTTAATTAACTGAGCACCTTATAGCTTATTTGATTTTTGAAATTTCTGTCATGCGATTTGTTATAACTTTTGCTTCTAATTTATTTGGTAAAAAATAACTTAAATCAATTACAATAGGTTGATTATCAAAAAGTTAAGAAAAAAGTGCTTTCAACATGCTTTCAAGTTATCAATTTCTTACTTATTAACACACCTAAAAATGCTATTTCCTCCCTACCAACTCTTTTTTACTTTCTCATAAACAGTAGATTAACGATTTATCATTAAATTTGTTCAGTTTGAATTCGCCCAATTAAGTCTGTTTTCGGAAAGAATCTTGTTTGGCTCGAATTCACTCGAATGAGTCTTATTGTCTGGGAAGAATCGGGAGATTCCTTTCAAATAGAGACTCATTCGAATGAATTGAGGTTAAACAAATTCAGTGAATGTAGCGATATTGTAAATAGTATTTGGGTTGATTACACTTATTTCTTTTCTCTTGGTTTTTTAAAAAAATACGTTAAATCTTTTAAGTCTTCGTTTGGTAAATATTTTGGGGCTAAAAAAGTATAAAAATACAAAATATGCTATATAAGTCAATAAAATAAAATATCACATCTAAACCATAATCATTACATTTTTTTTCTCACAAAAGTCAAAAAAGTCCAAAAATAAAATCAAACGAGACTAAAAAAACTAAGCTAAAAAAGTCCCAACACAAAAAAGTTAGCTACCGTAGCCAATGCCAAACGACGCTTAAATTCGGCACAATTATATTTTACTCTTCCTTAGTTTTTAATTTTTAATAGGGTAATTATATAAAGACTTTTCATTATTAGCGAATATCACTTTATTCCATTCATCTATATATTCGTATATATTAACCACATCAACTATAATAACTACTCTCTCCGTTCAAAAATATTAGTCCCTTATTCCATTTTTTATTGTTCCAAAATATTAGTTTCTTTCAAAAATTAAGGACAAAAATTATATGAATATCTTATTTTGCCTTTCTTTTAAAATCATTAACAATATAAAAAGTACAATTATGACAATTGATATTCCCTAAAAAAATGTACTATCAAGAGATAATTTTGAAAAATTAATTTTTTTAAAGTGCAATAATTTTACTATTAAAAAAAGTTAGATTCCCCAAAAATGACTATTATTTTGAGACGGAGAGAGTATAATATTATCCGATCAAAATAGAACAATTATTGGACTTCACCAGCCAATGATTAACAATCCGTTAGCATAATCATTTAGCAAATTTAGTCACAACTCCAAATTTTTTTTTATAAATGAGTGACCTTACTTGTACGTTAAACAAATTCTATTACAAAAATAAATAAACTAAATATTTAAAATTTTCAAACTTTAAATAAACTGTAAAACTATTATATTATTGTCTTGAAAAAAAAAAAAAAGAACATAAACTTTTACAATTGCATTGAATGATATTTTATTTTTAGAATCATTGCATAAACTATTATATTATAGTGTTAAATACATCATTTTTCTTTGTAAGAACTCATTCATCTATTAATCTCTCATTCAATTACATAACTGACTCTTTATTATTAAATAAATAATTAGGCTTTGAACTTGAGGTTCTGTTTTATTGTTTCGAACCATTCATTTCGTAAAACTCTAGATTTTTATCATCTATAAAAATATTTATGTCGATTCGATAATCGTAACTTATTCATTTTATCTCATGTCTTAAAAAAAAAAAAAAATAGACGACAAGTATGTTTTTTAAATAAATCATTCACTTTTGGTAAACAAACACGATAAAATGAAATAGTTACGATTATTAGATTGATCTCATTTTTTTTTATAGATGATACACACTAAGAATCTTACAAAATGATGAAACACTTGATGAGGCCACAGGCACCCCCAAGTTCTCTCAAATTCAAACTAAACATGAGACCCTAAGGTTTTTTTATTTTTATATTTTAATGAGAGCCGTTGATTTTTAGTGGTGGGTGTAGAGTTCTATTTGGAAGTCCTTCAATTTTTTAATAGGATTAAAATATTTAAAATAAAATATTAATAAAAATTAATAACAAAACAAGAAAGCGGCTTGTCTTAATGTAAATATATTTTAATTTTAAAATCATAATTTGCAAATAGTCATTGTTTAATAACTCAAAACATCTAAGATTTACACAACCATTCTTGGGCTAGCATTAGATTGATCTATATGTTTATGTGAAGCTAATTTCAATTTATACTGTAATATATACACTGAACGTGTTGGTTCTACAATCAAGCCCACTCATTGCTGGTTACACTCGTAATCAGGCATTCATGAAAAAAATCAATTCACAGATCGGTTCATTTCTAAGTTTTAAATATAAAAACTTAGGACCACGTAATAATTGATACACAAAAAAGAAATCCCAAGTTGTAAAACACATAATATAAACTTAATCAAGAAAAGTTGGTTATTACTAAAGCTTAATCATGCAAAAAATTGAAACTGAACTCACAAACATTGCATCACTAACACTACTTTGACGAGGATTCTTAATCCAATCAGCCATTCAGTTTAATTTTCTCGTTCTCCGTACAGAGATTGCAATTAAAATAAACTGCGTTCCGTAAATGATAAGAAAGAAAAAGAAATCAAGTATTCAATTGAGGGGAAGCCAAAACAAAATGCTCTGAATGCGCACTGCAGACAGTCAACAAATTTAACTACAAAAAGTGATCCTAACATCAGGAAAAAATTCAGCAAAACACAAGTTTAGCATCAGGAAGTTGGACCATAGAATGGTTGTAGCATTGACAACATCGGGCAGCATATCTTTCACACTATCCGCTCCAACTCCCTTGCATAACTGAGTGTCTGATTGATGAGTTGCAGAGATGGTATCTCCTTGCAAGGTGCAGATTCTTTTGCCTTTTGGAAAATCACAAACCCGTTCTTTATCTCCCACTCAGGATGTTCCTGCAAATTATCAAAGAACCCTTGCATTGGACACCAAATCAAGGCTTCCATGCTGGTGGATTTTGGTATTATCATTAATACAAGGTTGATATGCTATCACTGAAGTATAGAATGAAAAACCATAAATAATGCATATATTGCAACTCCACAAAGCCCTTGCATCTAGGCTCCATTTGATTCATTGATTTGGTGATTAAAAAAAAAAAAAGGGAAGGGAAAACAGAGAGGAAATCATTTGTCTTTGTTTCATTACCTTGGAAAATAGTGCAGAAAAGAAAACATGGTGAAGAAAATGGAGAAATGTCAACTTTTAAATATCATTTTTCCCTCTTATTTTTGATTTCTTACCATTTCTTACGAATTTTTTTAATTTAATACTTATTTATGTACGACAAAATAAAGAAGAAAAATTAAAAAAACTTTCTTTCTCATTTATTTCTACTTTCTTCCAGCTTTCCCTCACCATTTCCAAGCACCAAACTGAGACCTAACAGACTATTGAGAAGCAGATAGAGAAACAACAAAAATTAAAACAGGATATAGAATCCAATTTTTATTATGTACACACTGTAATATTCCATATCATATTACCCAACAAAATTTTGCTCAATACAGCTCTTGGCCAAGAGGGGGCAAGTAAAAATGATGGGTAATAAAGAACAAAAAGAAAACAAGAAAAATAAGAGTTGACTTCTAATTAGATGGTTAGTACTTCCCTTCAACTAAGACCACCAAAGTAGATCCAGACATTAATGTATTCCATTGGTTAACAATAATAAGAACGAAAATGAGCTTAGGAATTTTACCTCTTTTACATATTCAAAAAGTTCTTTGTCTGAAGAGAACAACAATATTTTCCGGGCATCATTAATTGAAAGTGAATCGTAGGCCTTTTCGCTGCATCCAGCTATTTCATCTCTGCGAAAGACAATGAACTACTAAGGGCACAAAACTAACCACACTTTCTACCAAGTAGACAATGTGTGTATCTAAAGCAGTAACATACCAACCCACACTTTCCCAAGTGCTCATGCTACTAGAGTTGGAATGAACAAAATAAGAAACGACAAGAGTGAGCGATCTCTCCGCAGTGCATACGTATACATAGAGAATGTATGTGTAAATCCCACTTCTCAGGTCGCTAACTTGATATTATGAACAGATGTAGCAAAAGAGACATAAAAACATGATAACCAAAACAAATTAACATAGGTCTCACTTAATATAATTCAAATTTAGCAGGAAAGTAAATGTTGCTACGTCGCAAACAATGTGCATATGTAAAAGCAGTAATACCAACCAACACTTTCCAAAGTGCACATGCTACCATAGTTGGAATGAAAAAAATAAGAAAAGACAAGAGTGATTGATCAGTCCGCAGTGCATATGTATATAGAGAATTTGTGTGTAAATCCCTGTTCTCAGGTCACTAACTTGATATTATGAA